CAACGCCAGGGCAGAGTGCCCAAAATAAAATAAAAAGCGCACTAAGGCGCACAGGTTCGTAAAATCAGTTTAAGAGGCATAGGCAGCGATAAAGTTACTTTGATTTATTATGTTATGTTCAGTTCAGTTCTCTTAATTCCATGGGCTGTTAAATTTCACATGTCACCTTCCTGTCGCGAAGGCCTCAGGAGCACAGGTGAACACAAACAGACACATGGGAGAGAAACAGGAGAAACAGCGGTGGGCAGCGATGTGGCCAGTCCCCAACTTCAGAGCGAATGCTGAGCACAGACCCTTGACGGGTGACTGTCTGACCCAAACCCACCGCCGGCTACGACACGCTCGGACCCCAGCAAAGAGGGCGGCCAGACGCCAGCATGGCTACATAGGCAGGACTCACGGCGGCACTGAAGCACCATTACTGTTAGTTATTGAGCATTCTGAATCAAAACGTGCACAGTAGAACTACTACCTGAAGCAGGAGGAGGCTGGCGCAACGCAACACTGGGGACGGAAGTGCAGAGCTAAACAAAGTCATGACTCCAGCCTATTTATACATTCATGCGCCCTCTAGTGGACAAAAAAGATGTAAAAGATGGCACCGTGCCAGGGCGCCGCTGCAAGAGCTCTGTTGTGTTTTTTGTTTATCAGTGCCATAGTGTTTTTTTATTCATTTATTTTCAGTGTATGTGTATGTGTATTTTATATTACATTGTATCATGCTCTTTATTCTGTCGGTGCACACAGAGTACCTTATTTGCGAATGTATTCCAATGTAGTTTTTATACTGCACATGGCTAATAAAATGAATCTGAATATATAGTGGCCAAGTCCAGCAGCTTACTTTTGGCCCGGTTCTGTTTCAACCCAAAGGTAGCTGTACACATGTTTGTTCAGAAAAATACAACCAAAAAGTACATCCATCTGCCCTGCTTTTCTCCATACAATACAAGTCCATTAGAAGCTTCCTAGTTTGACTAATGTTAAGTTCGAAGTACAGGGCCTTGCAAAATTATTCACCCCCCTTGGCTTTTTACCTATTTTGTTACATTACAGCCTTTTAGTTCAATGTTTTTTTAAATCTGAATTTCATGTGATGGATCATAAAACAATAGTCTAAGTTGGTGAAGTGAAACTTTTTCTGTAAACACGGAGTTAGCTCAGTAAATGTGTGCGTCCATATGAATGTAGTCAATACGCCTGAAAACGCTGTGAAACTATGCCAGACCTGTTGGTGGCGCTGTGACGCAATGACGGGATCAAGCCCAAACTTCCGTGGGCATGCGCGGAATTTTGTAAACAGACAACGTGGCGAGTGGGCGAGCTGGTACTACATTAGTATGGACGGACGATGAGGTTGAACTGTTGCTTCGGGTCACACTGGATTACAAAACCAACAAGCTACATTGTTGTTGTCATTATTTTCTGAGTGCGGCGCATGCGTGCTTTAACAAGAGGTGGGGCGATGACGCAAGCGTCTCAGATACATTGCGGAGAGGCAGTAACCACGGAGCGGCATATACGGAGTTTTGAAATCTTTCCACTCTGGGACCTAGTTTCAAAAATGTTCGTTTACACCCCCCCAAAACGCCGGCCTCGTATGGACGATACACTGGATTGATAAAGTATTTTTGCGTTTAGGCCTGAGCTTGACTTCGTGTGGACAGGGCCTAAGTGTCGCATGATCTGTCAGTACATATACACACCTGTTTTGAAAGGTCTCAGAGGCTGAAACACCTAAGCAAGAGGCACCACTAACCAAACACTGCCATGAAGACCAAGGAACTCTCCAAACTCTCCCCAGGAGCACCATCAAATCTATCATAACCAAATGGAAAGAACAGGCACAACAGCAAACCTGCCAAGAGACGACCGTCCACCAAAACTCACGGACCGGGCAAGGAGGGCATTAATCAGAGAGGCAGCACAGAGACCTAAGGTAACCCTGGAGGAGCTGTAGAGTTCCACAGCAGAGACTGCAGTATCTGTACATAGGACGACATTAAGCCATAGGCTCCATAGAGTTGGGCTTTATGGCGGAGTGGCCATAAAGCCAAGAACACCATCCCCACAGTGAAACATGGTGGTGGCAGCATCATGCTGTGGGGATGTTTTTCAGCAGCTGGGACTGGGAAACTGGTCAGAGTTGAGGGAAAGATGGATGGTGCTAAATACAGGGATATTCTTGAGCAAAACCTGTACCACTCTGTTCGTAATTTGAGGCTAGGACAGAGGTTCACCTTCCAGCAGGACAATGACCCCAAACACACTGCTAAAGCAACACTTCAGTGGTTTAAAGGGAAACATGTAAATGTGTTGGAATGGCCTAGTCAAAGCCCAGACCTCAATCCAATAGAAAATCTGTGGTCAGACTTAAAGATTGCTGTTCACAAGCTCAAACCATCCAACTAGAAGGAGCTGGAGCAGTTTTGCAAGGAGGAATGGACAAACATTCTAGTGGTAAGATGTGACAAGCTCATAGAGACTTATCCAAAGCGACTAGGAGCTGTGATTGCCGCAAAAGGTGGCTCTTCAAAGTATTGACTTTTGGGGGGTGATTAGTTATGCACATTGATCTTTTCTTCTGTTTTTTTTTCCTATTTGTTGTTTGCTTCACAATAAAAAAAGACAACGTTGTGGGCATGTTCTGTAAATTAACTGATGCAAATCCTAAAACAATCCATGTTAATTCCAGGTTGTGAGGCAACGAAACACAGAAAATGTGAATACTTTTGCAAGGCACTGTAGAATTGAAATCTAATTCTAATAATCCATCGTTTAAATATAGTGCTTTTCAGGACACTCAAAGACGCTTCAAATGTCATTATTCTTTCCCTCCAAATCCCATCAGACCTCAGTCAGTTTATGAGGTCTGACGGGATTTGGCTTTGCAAGTGACCATACTTACTTACTTACACAAAATATATCTATAATTTACAGTGGGAAGTGTAAAAACAGTTGAAAAACAGAGAGTTCTTTTTTAATATAGTATAATTCGTAAAGTCTCCTGTATATTATTTATTGCATCTCCATTTGTGAGACATCAACATCAATACCTGAGACTTGGCATGGGGAACACGACTACACTCTTCATCTTAATCCAACTTCATCAAAATGTTATTACAAAATCAATAGGAATAGGATTTTTTCCCCCTTCCCTTTCCTGCCGACAGCCAACCTCTATATCTATCTTCCTCCTCTACCTATAACTATATAACCTACAACTGCCTATACGTTCGAGTTCCACCTGGAGTCACATTTAGCTTCATCCATGCTTACTTCCAGAATTCTTAGACAGTAAATCTTCTCATCAGCAGCCTCCAAACACCCCACTTTGAATAGGCCTGCTGTAGAGAAACAAAGCAAGATGCAGATATACATTCATTATATATACATGACTTTCCACCTTAAATTTGTGAGAAAACTGAGAAGGATGACGTTACCTCCTTGACTTATCAACAGCTTTTGATGTTGTGGATTCTAGACCGCTGAGAAGGCGGAGTCTCAGATTTATGCAGGGAACAGCTAACAACAGTTCTGATTAGACACATCTTCACTCTTTTTAATGTCCCTCGATAATTTGGGGATTTTAATGTTTCTTTTCTTGCTTTATTTTGAACTCTGCTATACAAATGAACTTACAAATGCCAACAAATGAGTAATGTCAGAAATAGCCGCTTGCAAATAGAGCTCAAAGTCATGTATTAAAAAGCTTTCAGAGGTGCATTACAAACAGTAAAATCATACTAATTGCAATAAAAAAAATGCATCCCACTTTAATATTATTTCCACAGCAGGAGAAATGTTATCCGCCTCAGCCTTTGCTTGTATTCTTCAGCTGGAGTAGCCTGGCTGAACTTTTCTGCTGTAGCAAATAGCACAACACATTTAATGACATCAATGATTTGGACCAATTGTCTAAAAAAAATAACCAAGAAAGAGGGGAAAATGAAGATTAAATGGCTCCCCTGTGGTTTTCTGTCATTTTCATAAACTGTTTTGAGCTTCGTTATTATGACAAACTTGTTTTTAATGCTTTACCAGAACTGAAGGCAAATTATATTGTTATAGGAAGTACTCTGGGGGCTTCTACAAATCCCTCGCCTCCTGATTTGAATTTAATGGAATAGGTTTTAATTGTTGTAGGTTTGACACTACAACAATTAAAAAAAATTGTTGTAATTGTTGTAAAAAATTTTTTAATTGTTGTAGGTTTGACACTGGGCGACAGTAGCTCAGTTGGTAGAGCATTGGCCTTAAGGCCTGAAGGTCGTGGGTTGAATTCCCACCTCTGCACCTTCTCCACCGACTCCCACTGATGACTGCTGTCGTTGTGTCCTTGGGCAAGACACTTAACCCCACTTTGCCCAAAAGCCCCCGCTGAAAAGATCAAGGCTATGCTCACGCTCAGAGAGCAGCCGTCCTCCTGTGGACTCACCACCTGCAGAGGGTCAGTGAGGGGCTGGTGCTATGAGACTTGGGTGGCATCTCTGATTGCCACCCCCCTGACCCAGAAATGGATTAAAGGGTAGAAAATGGATGGATGGATGGAGGTTTGACACTTGTAAATATTTCAAAAAACATGCAAAATCCTACAAAATAATGCAGAATGATTGAAGCGTCCGCACAGGGCTGTATATAATGTATTTGGACAAATTGTCTAAATGATGGATGAAGGGTGGATGGGTGGTTTCAATCGTTGCAAAATTCAGCAAAATATTGTATTTTTTAAAGCTTTATTTATGTTTATGACAAAGACAATAAATATTTTGAATCTTGAATATATTTTTGGTTCTTTTTGATGTGAATAGAATCAAGTCAAGTGTAATTTTCGGTATGACAGTGAAGTCGGTGACAGTGGGTACTCTCCCTGTTGGCTCAGCAGCACCAGTGTGAGGCCTGTATTTCTAGGATGATGATGATGATGATGCTGCTGATGATGGTTTCTTAGATGAAGATAAACAGGGCTGTTGCCTCCAGGCTGGTGGGACACAGCAGAGATGGTAATGAGGCGCAGGCCGATGTAATGGACTGTGTTCAGGTTGTGGAGACATACATAATGTCCCCATGATCCAGATGTGAGAGGTTTGAATCCATCTCAACTTCACATTTACATTTACATTTAACATAGACTTTACTAAACACATCTCAGGATTTCTTATGTATAGAATACATACAAAATATACAAATGGTTCAGAATCACATTGGGGACATACTAACAACTCTAACCCTAACCTTTTGAACACCAAGTCCTGCTAACCCTAACCCAAAATCTGATAATAACAAGCAATTAACAGTCAAGGACCACTGTAAAAAGTTGTTCCTGGACTCATTACCCATCCCTAAACCCTAAAACTAACCATAGTCCTTTGTGAATCCTCAACCCTCCGGAAAAAAACAACTTTTACTGTACATAGATCCTGAACAGTTGATTACTTAGTGATTTTAGATAATCTATGGGAATAATTGGGCCAATGGCAGCCTTGCCTCTTTGTGATTGAAAACTGCAGCGTAAAGCATCTATAAGTGTCCACACAAGGCTAAATATAATGTATCTTCAGATGAATTAAATATGAGAAATTTAGAATGTTAGAATAAATTATCTGGTACCCCTTGTCAGTAACTGTGTATATGAAAGTAGACATCTGTGTCCTCTTCTGTCCAGGTGACAGTGCAAGCCACGTGCATCACCCTGACCGCGATGAGTGGAGACCGCTGTTACGTCACCGTTTACCCGCTCAAGTCCCTCCGCCATCGGACGCCCAAAGTTGCCATGATCGTCAGCATCTGCATCTGGATCGGTTTGTATCAAAACGTCCTCGAGCTTGTACTACTGTATAATGTCCTTCTATGACAGACATGTCAAACTCAGGCCCATGGGCCAAATTTGGCCCCAGCAAGACCATTTTTGTGTTCCCTGAAATGGTTTTTACTTATCATTATTATATTATCATTTTTAATTTTAAAAACATTTTAAAGCTTATTTTTTCAGGAAAACAACCACATAATTTAACTAATTATAAGGTAAGTTAGTTACAGTTTTGAGAGGGTTAGGCCAAAGATATATATTATTTTATAGTTAACATCTCTTCTTGATGTTTGGCCGAATCCAAACTGGCCAGAACTCCCAAACTCGTGATTTTGTCAAAATACAAAAATATGTCCAAAGAAATAACAATAATACAAGAAAACCAATTTTATAATTTGACCCCAACCAGTTCTTAAGTTATTTAATTTTGCCCCCGAAAATGAGTTTGACACCCTTGTTGTATGACATCTCCTGTTGTAATGTGGGTTCCAGGCTCTCTGATCCTGTCCACTCCCATCCTGATGTACCAGCGGATAGAGGAGGGGTACTGGTACGGCCCGCAGCAATACTGCATGGAGAGGTTCCCGTCCAAGACTCACGAGAGGGCCTTCATCCTTTACCAGTTCATCGCCGCCTATCTCCTCCCGGTGCTCACCATCACCTTCTGCTACACTCTGATGGTGAAGCGTGTGGGACAGCCGACCGTGGAGCCGGTGGACAACAACTACCAGGTACGTGTTGTGGTCGAGATTCAAAACATGTGTGTTTGGCTTTAGTAACACGGTAGGAGACTGTGTGTCAAAACAAGTTCCACACACAGTAATTGGGACTTTGTGGACTTCCTGGCTGAGGCAGTAATACATGGTTGTTTTGGATGATTTATAAATATCAATTAAGAAATGTATTTGACCTGTATTTTGACACTGTATAAAACATGTAGTATGTAACAATAAAAAAGCAATACTTGATAAAAAGGTAATACTTAAGATTAGCCCTCACTAATTGACAGCTAATGAAGTCCTATATAGTGTACCCAAACCCTAGTCCTAATCATAACCCTAACGTGTCTGTTAGATGTTGAATAAGACCATGTAGAACAATGACTTATAAGTGCTTAATTAAGTAAGTAAGTAAGTAATGTTTATTTATATACCGCCTTTCACAGACAGAGTCACAAAGTGGTTTACAATTGTTATTTTTTGGGCACTTGTCCTCTCACTCCTCACAGAGATGGGAGCGGGGTCGCCAGTACAGGAGGCGCATGCCAGACCTATTGTACATATTTTTAGTGGTAGGGGAAACCGGAGTACCCGGAGGAAACCTACGCAGACAAGGGGGGGGCCATGCAAACTCCACTCAGAAAGGCCCTGGTCAATCCGACCGGGATTCGAACCCAGAACCTTCTTGCTGAGAGGCGAGAGTGCTATCCACTCAGCCACCGTGCAGCCAATTAATACTACTTATACCATAAATCAGTGGTTCCCAAAGTGGGGGTCCCGACCCCCCGGGGGGTCGCGGGAACCCCTGGGGGGGTCGCAAGATGATTTCTACACAAACAAAAAAAAAAGATTTTTTTTTTTTTGAGCAAATATAAAGCCCTTAAATATTTATTTAGCATTTGATTTGATTCAAAAGGACTACTTGTTAAATTGTGTTTGGAGACTATAATATATTTTAATAACGTTAGTAATTTTGTCCCAGTCATTGCAGCGTCAATCAAAATCATCACGTAACACAGCTCACATCATGCGCAGCGACAAAGCGTGTCCTGCTGTTGTTTGCTAAAACTAAAGGTGTTTGGAGGCTTCAAATAAATAATACCTGCTTTAAAATGAAACGTGGTTAATATCCACAACAGAAAAACCCGGAGGGGGAGAAAAGTCAGTTGTATCAGGGGTCAGGCTGATGGTGCGAAGAGAGGGAGAGAGGGCAAAGGAGGGAGAGAGGGCAGCGGAGGGAGGGAAGACAGAGGAGGGAGAGAGGGCAGCGGAGGGAGGGAGGACAGAGGAGGGAGAGAGGGCAGCGGAGGGAGGGAGGACAGCGGTAGAACAGCGCATTAAAGAGGCCCGGCTTTTCGGAGTCAAAGGTAAAGAGGTCCGCATATTAAAAGCGGTTGGCCGGTTTATGCCTTTACTGACAGTAACTTTGGTAAGAGAAGCCGCGGGGATGAAGCGCATAAAGTAACAGCAGAAAGCGGCCGCCCGCTTTTAATGTGCGGACCTCTTTACCGCTGACTCCGGAAAGCCGGCCCACTTTACCGCGGTAGGAGAGCCCATCACTGTGTCACTACATGAGTAAAAATATGCAAGCCTCCTTTTTTGGGCTGGACAGTGCAGCTCGGTTGTGGCGTGAGTCTCTAGAAAGCGTTACTCCGTATCAAGGAAATACATGCTCATTTCATGTGACGGAAGGGCTGTTGGAGGGGGGGGGCGGGGGTCGCGGGTTAGCAGGGCATTTATGATGGGGGTCGCGGGCTAAAAACTTTGGGAACCCCTGCCATAAATTATACAGTAATGATCACTTGATTAGCTGTTAATTACAGAGGGCTAAACTAAAATGATACGAATAAAATATTTAAACTCTTCTGTATATGTACGTCTCTTTGCCAACAGGTACAGATACAGTAAATCAGTTTTACCACACCAAACACAGTAATCATATTTATGGATTCCACTCTTGCAAACGTTCAACATCAGATTTAGAAAAACACTAAATGTATCTTATAAATCTAACGCACGTCCAAAACTGTCAGAGCGGCTTCATTGGGGGCTCACCACGGCAGCAGGTCAGTGGCGACGCCTTGAGCGATGTCTATTGCAGAGTGATTGGTATAAATATTAAATCTCCTCAGTGTTTTACAGGAACAACTCAGCGTGGCAGATTGGCAAAAGATTGACTCATTTCCTTGCAGAATATATTACTTCAAGTAATAATAATGCCTCAGTTTTACACAGCACATTTTAGACACTCACAAACAAGCTTAGCCGCAGGACAGACTGACGTAAAAGTGAGGCTGCTTCTTCCATCGGCCATTACTCATCATACATGCACACACCAGGCTCTTTTATAGATCAGTTTAAACTGGATGTTTTGCCTGAGGACACGACCAGAGAGTAGCAGCCATCCCAATCTAGTGTTTCCAGAGGTATCCCATCACAGTATTAACCAGGCCTTGCCCTGCTTAGCTTCTGAGATCAAGACAGGATCAGTCTTTCACATGCAATGATAACTAGGTTTGATTATATGTGTGTTTAAAGGAATGTTGCAATAGACATATAGGTTATTTCTATTAATGTAAAACATAGAAAAAACAAAATATTAGACAACATTACGTGATTTCACATTTTAAATCCTTACTTTATCATATGTCATATCAAAATGGGATATGAATGTGACTGCAATATGTATGCTCATTTACAAATAACAAATTTAAGTAATCCATAATTTACAATCAGTAGATTAGCCAGGCCTTTTCATATTCTAATGATGTGTTATTTTTCTTCATATTCAGGTGAACTTGCTTTCAGAACGCACCATCAGCATCCGCAGTAAAGTCTCCAAGATGGTGGTGGTTATCGTCTTGCTATTCGCCATCTGCTGGGGTCCAATCCAAATCCTTGTTTTATTCCAGTCGTTCCACCCAAACTACCGCCCCAGCTACACCACATACAAAATCAAAACCTGGGCCAACTGCATGTCCTACGCTAACTCATCCGTCAACCCCATTGTCTACGGCTTCATGGGAGCGAGTTTCCAAAAGTCATTCCGAAAAACGTTCCCCTTTCTCTTCAAACACAAGGTCAGAGACAGCAGCATGGCTTCCAGAACAGCCAACGCCGAGATCAAATTTGTGGCGGCGGCAGAAGGGAACAATAACAACAATGGAGCTGATTGAATCTGATAATTAAAAAGTAAGAGACAGGCACTCAACGTTGGAGTCTGGGAGAAATGTTTAACTATACATGCCCCTCGGAAACGACCGGGGAATCTCAAAGGACCTGTTTTATTTATGTTATTGAATATGTCTAATTAACAGCTGATAAAAGGGGAAACACAGACTAATGATATTGAATGGAGCCCAAGGGTTCGCTGCATAAAATGTCAGTCGCCGTCACTGCCAAGTCGATGCAGCCTCTGCTCATTGCCCCATCCATCATACTGCCAAATAACAGCGTATTTGCATTTTATGGACACATGCTCTGACAAATGGACTCACTGTACTTGGAGATGTGTATTGTATTCATCATTTTCAGGAAGTTTTCAGCACAGAACAGCCATTTACGAGCAACCGAGAGACAAAGTGAATTGGAGAATTTTTAGTACGCAGGAACATTTTGGACAAATCGACCCTGTAACAATATTACTAAGAAGCAAAAAGACTTTGTTCTCTGTTGATTGGAGACCTGCTTCTTGACCGGAAATGGTTATTGTTCTGATCGACAGGATGAAAGCTGCCATCATCGGTCTTCTCATTAGGGATGTATCGATATTGACAGTATTGTGGTAGTATCTCCATTGTTGTGCTGTATGGTATTGAAAGGGCAGGTATCTGTCAAAGAATGAGAATAACCCACGGACCAAAGCATTTTAAAACTACATAGACCATGATCCATGGGAAACATGAGCAACAGGCAGAGTATCTGATGAGCCATCAGGCTTTATGTTTACAAAAAGTTTACAGATTCACTCACAAAGACCAATTGATGAAAAAACTGAGCAGGGTTTTTTGAAAGACAAGTTAGATGTATTTCTTTATTCGGGAGGTGCAGTAGGAGTGGGCGTGGCCAGTCTGACCACCGGGCTCGAGGTTACAAATCTTACTTGTCTTTTTGAGAGAATAAAAAAATCAAACAGCGAAAAGTTCATCACAGATCTAATTTAGATCTGACATTATTTTCTTCTTAATGTGAATGTTACACACAAGAAAATCAGTTGTGACCAAATGTTACCAAATGTAACTCAAAATTGCACTTTACGCAGTGATCAGCGTTTTATGTTGTCTTGACCCGTGAGTAGAAATGGCCTGGTTTTCACAGGCGGGTCCCAGCTCAAAAGTGGCCAAAATGACGTGCGCTGACATGCTTGCAATACCACCCCGGGCCGATGGGGGTGGACCCAGAAGAAGAATTAGCCAATGCTAACATATAGCATTGGCCGACCTCTGGAAAACGTCTTTACAGGATGGACCAAAAGTTGGCTCTTGGCCCAAAGCTCCGTTCCACATGTGTGTCAATGCTGAGGGGGGTGGATTTTTTTGGTCCAACTTCTGAAGTCTCTCGTTCAAATGAATGGAGTTGCGCCGGCTGACGCATGCGCAGATGTGTTTTTTCACAATTTTCTTGTGGGCGGGACCACTCGCGGCCATTTTGGATAGTTCCAGTAGAGCACATTTTTTGGTCCATTAGTTAGAACAGCGGAGATAGGCGTGACTCTGTCCATTAATATATACAGTCTATGGGTTTTCATGATTACAGTTGATTTATTAGTGCTTGTTACAGCATTAAAACAAAAGGCTTGATATATCTGACTTTGGTTGTAACAAGTCACATTGTAAGTTGAATTACAGAAGCAAAGCAACATTTGAACAATATTATAATTTTCCAAGTAATAATGTGTAATATTATGAGCTGTTTTACGACACAGTGAGCTCCTCCACAATATCGCAATAGATATTGTATCTATCAATATGCAAATCATACCGTGAGATTTTGATTTCATTACATCCCTAGTCCTCACTCAGATCTGTGTCGACATGTATATTTCTATCCTCAAACAGTACTGATCATTTTGAATTAAAAGCCCTAAACATGTCCAAACAAGGATAAAATAAATCATATGAGAAGTTAGAATGTTGTAAGTAACAGGAAACAACAAACTGGGAATTATCCATGTGCAAACAAGAGTAGAGTAGTTGAAAATAGATAAAGGCGTATGCATCAAAAAATGCACCAGGACACCAGCCGGTCCACCTCCCTCCTGTTTTCGGACTCATCGTTGTCAGAGATATGTCCAATGAGGGTGGTGTCTTCTGCAAACTTGATCATCTTCACAGAGTTGTCGCTGGAGGTGCAGAGGTGGATGTGCATTGAGAAGAGCATGGGATAAAAAACACAGCCCTACGGAACTCCTGTGTTTTAATACAAGTTTCCAAGACATTCTTCCTCAGACGCACGTGCTGCTTCCTGTCTGTCAGTAAGTCAGTGATCCACCTGCAGGTTAAGTTGAGAGAGCGTGTCCTGGAACAAGGATTATTACTACTGTGACAGGTTTCCACGGTTTCAACTAAAAAAACTCAAGGGTACATCCGCAGGAGAACAACATTGCATCAATCAAAGGCAATTCAAAATGCCGCCCTTTCACTGCAACTGCGTGATAATTTGTCATGGGGAAATTCATCAAAACTTGTCAGCAGCCTGAAGTCAAAAGTCAAGCACATTAAAAAATTGCAGTGTTCAGTTTGTGATATTTTGTCATTTTGTGTGTGAAGATTGAGATTTGAATTTTAAGTTGAGTAGCTGAGGGTGTTGCCTCAATGGATCAAAAGGTCAGTATGAAGAATTATAACATATTTATGGCAATTAGGAAGTGACATGTTTGCATGATAAAAAAACACAGACATCAAAGTGTTCAAGGCAAATCAGACTTGGTGAGATGCTAGATATAGATGGATATTATTAAGAAAAATAAAAATCTCTAAATGTATTTAATGATATTATTTCTAATAAAGCTGGAATGGAATGAGGTCAAGACATGTCTTTGCTACAACACATTCCAGTCGAAAGGCCTGCAGGAATCCCAAAAAACTGAAAACGACATATTCTCTTTAACTGTTTGTTCCGGCATTGTGTTAAAGGGTCATTATGCAACTTTTTATCTGAAATTAAAGTCAATATTCTTGCATATTTCAATTTGTACTGACCCAGTAAGAGTGGTCAGCATGATTCCTTTACTCACTATCAGAGTGGAGACTATATATAGGATCAAATATTTCTATGGTTCTCTGCTGACAGACCCCCACACTAAAAACACACACAAAACAATTGACCCCGGAGCACCGTAGACTCGACTCTGATCAACAAGTAAAACATGAAAATCTACATGTATACAAAAACGTACATACAAAATTGCATACTACTGCTCAATGTAATAATGTACTACATCAAACCAGAACAAAGCCGCTCCAGCTGAAAACATACTGTACTGCCCTGGTCCATAAAACATGTTTGCCTTTCTCTCAGACCTGTATTATCCCAAATGTTGATGTTCGCACCGGTATCATTCAAAGTGCTCAGATGTGGCTGCGTGCCCTTTGGCAGCACACGCCTGGAAAGCACTATTCAAATGCAGCTTTTGGCTCGGTGAATCATGTGCATTATGTCTGTTCGTCTCAACTCGCTCGCAGATTATACCGCACATTTTGGGGAGATTTTGGTCCATTGTAGATAAATGGCATTCATTTTGTGGAACTTTTTATAAAGGCTGAGACACGTCTTAATGTAAATAGACCGCTGTATTGAAAATGCTCAGGTAGAACTTTTTTCATTTCATGTAATTGAATGGGTTTACCACAGTTGAAATGACTTTCCTCAGTGAGATCCGGTGCAAAGTACTGTATTCATGACTTTCATTGGAAGTTGAAATAGCGTTGTCATTATGCTGACATTTCAAATTTGTGAAATAAATCCAATGCTTTAATTAGAATAAACAATGTGTGGGATCAAAGCCTATATTTGTACAGTGACATTCCACCTACTGGATTATATATTATCGATATAGGGCACTAAATGCATCACCTTTAAAACCTTCACATACTTTTTAGACAATATTTACCTTTAAAAAAAATCTTATTCGAGAGAGAATGCAAAGTATAATAATTGCTAAGTTTTGAAAGGAAATACTCAAGGTTTAAGAACTATTTCAATCTCATTCTTCAATCTGGAGAAAAATGCTTTGATAAAGGATGTTTCTCATGTCAAAACAATCAAAATATGACAATAAAACGATCGCAAGCGATGTAAATTACTTCATGAATAATTAAAGAGAAAAACAGATGGAAATGATTACTGTTTGGTCATAGCTGATAGTGAACCATCATAAACTGTATGTAGATGGAAAATGAAGTCCAATAGAAAAAGTCTTTCTCCAACTCGCTCTGGCTCCTTTTGACTTATATAGAAATGTAAACTTCTCAAGCTCAGTAAGTCTCTGTGTCACACTCACCATATTGGGCTTAAACCTCTGTGGTTTAGCGCCCTCTATGATCCTGGTATTTTTTATTTTGTTATTGTCTTGGTAAATCTAGATGAGAGCCATTTAAGGATTGACCAGTCAGAGGCCTTCATCCACAGAGGAAACTCCAGCTTGCATGTGCAATGATTTTGCAACATGTGAGGTTTGTACCTCGGTTTGCGCAAAGCTAACCCAGTTGGAATGTCACAGGTTAAAATAGTCTGTTGAGGGGGTGTGATCATTAAAAGGGAAACTGGATAAAAGGGGATAAAATATTTAATAAAATATATACAAAAAGGATTGATAAAAGATGATTAAAAAAAACCCGCAGTCCACTTGTTCTTCCCCACTTGTTCTCCCGCCAGCCGCTCGCCAACCACGGGTCGCCACCGGGCACCCGCGGGGGAGAGCCGGCACATCCCGGTCGTTCTGTGGGCCTAGCCCGGGCGCGCACGCGCCAATGCGCTATGAATTGGAATATTCAATCATATTTCTTTCTTCTTAATAATGTATTAATATATATATATTAATATGTATTTCCTTTCTTAACTTAGTACACATACTATATAGCTGACTTTCTGTTCACAAATCATTTCACCTTTAGCCACTGGATGAAAGTTTTAAATAGTGAAATACATGACACATGGGTGACTGTATCTAACGCTC